AAGAAAAGGTAGTGGTAGGAAGTAGAAGCTTTTCTCCTGGTAAAACATTTATGTTTCAAAGTAAACAAATATCAGACTGAAATTCAAGGAAAAGAAATTCCAGAAAAGTGATAGAAGCTACACACACAGCCATTAGTAAAATACAAGGGAAATGATACTCTCCTCAAAATATGTCATTTTTTGGGTATGATTTTCAATTAATGACAGAATTAATATAGTAAGAAAAACTCTAGCTAATGCCGTAAAATCAAATCCTTTTTTAGTCCTATATTAGGTACCATCAGGAGAAGATCCAACTGTGACATAAGAAAGAGTTCCCTACATCCAAAGTTCTTCACAGCTAACTGTGGAGTTTTGTGAAAATACCCATTACTGGCCCCAGTGCCCAGGGAATTTGAGACTGGGAGTCTGTATTTTTAATACTCCACAGGTGGCTGTGATTCTCACCCACAGTTGAGATTGTCTCAGTGACTCTGCCCATTGCTTGGATGTGGGAGAAATAGTCATAATATTAACAGCCAGCCCTGGCATGGGCACTCACCAACCAGAAGAGAGGCAGGTTATTCAATAACATGGATAGATCCACAGAAAAGTATTTCCCTCAGCAACCATTATTAATGACCAAACTTTTTAATTAGGCTTTTGTTTTATTTAAGAGAAATCCTTATCATATATGGAATACCAAAGGATCCTACTGATCCAGAAAGAAATCCTATCATGTAAGGTGGTACAGTTATGATTTCCCACTTATGTAGACTATGAGATCTAGAAGAGGTCACAGACATTGTCCAGTCAGATCTATTTTTTTCCTTACAGATGAAATCCAGAGATAAAAAAGGAATTTGTTTAGTGAACAAAGGCAGAGTTGGGAAAAACCCCAGAACTTCAGACACAGTCTGGTGGTATTTGCTCAATACTGTGCTGCTGCCCATAGATGAAGAAATGAAGATTCAGGAAAGTGAACTGCTGTGCTCCTCGTAGGACTACATATGTTTAGTGTGTGTGTGTGTGTGTGTGTGTGTGTGTGCGTGTGTGTGTGTTTGTGTGTAAGGGGGAGGGAGGAGGAAGGTGGCTACAACAACAAAAGTCTTCTGACTACTCATCCATTTTTTTTAAACCACTGTTAAACTATATTGGAACAGGATGTTTATTTCCAAAATTCTGTAAGATAGTTTTGCCAATGCATAGTTGAACTAAATCCACTGTCAATATGTACGTACATTAAAATAGAACACATTTGCGTGTGTCTACGATAATTGTTTAAAATATCTGGAAACTTTGTTTGCAGAAGAGTTATTCACATGAAGAGAGAGGTTAGTAGCCATTTGTTGATAATATTTGTTAAATAGTGACTCATTATAAGATTCAAGCATAGTCACAACTTCTTAAAAATTTAATTAGGGAATATATTAGTTTGTAGTTCCCCCAGTCTGGCCTTGCAACACTTTTCTTCATAATCTCTGACTTGTGTTTCGTCTTCAGCTTCTACATGGTTCCTCATTTATTACTGAGTTGCAAAGGTCCTGTGTGACTTTTCACCTCAGTAGACCGATTGAGAGGCACAAGAAATTAGTGTAGAAGCTAACTGTGTGTGCAGCTGCTAGACAGTGCGATACTTTTCAAAATATTAACCATGTCTTTTCCTAGAGCCTGATACACAGTAGTTAGGCAGTAAATGTTACTCTTCTATTTGAAGTCCTTAATGATTCTCTGTTATCTTCAGAATAAAACTAATATACAAGCTTGTCATTTAAGAACCAGTCGCCTTTCTAATTATTGCCCCCAAATGCTTAGGGCCCTAGCCATACTGAACTGCTTTGAGATTCTCAAACAATGTACATTTTTTCCTGTCTACTTGTCTTTGCAAATGCTATACCCAAATGCTGGAATGAAATTTTTCCTCTCCACTCTCCTAACTCTTACTTTGAAACTTCTCTATTGAATAATCTAGGATCTCTCCAGGTTGGGTTAGATTTCTTCCATTTCTCCTGGTACTCTCCAAACACACACACACACATACACACACACACACACCTGTGCTCCCACAGTACCCTGTTTCAACTCTAATCATACATCTCACTACATTATATCCATTTTAAAACATTTTCTGGCTCCTCTGACAAGGAGAACAGGGATCCATTCCGGCCAAGCTGGCCCACCTGTGGGTGCTTACTATATTTTTGTTGCAGGAATGGATCAGGTACAAACACTGATTGCACTCTATGACTCCCCATGTGTGAGAAAGGGAGTTAACTAAGTTATAAGCCATTCTGGAAAATCCTCATGTGAAGTTCGGAAGGGTAGATGAATTATTCTGAGAGACCACGCAATTCCTAGACCGTGGCTTAATCATTTGTTTATTAGGAAGGCTTTCCAAGGGAACATCAATTGCATCCTCTGACTGCTCTCTGACAATGGGAAAAAGTATCAGGCAGTCATCTATCTTGGGCCCCTTTCTCAGTAACTCCCATCTGTTGGAGACTCCTATAGGTACAAACCCTCTTTTGCTGTGGGCCAGGGCGATGAACTGAGGAGCTCTGTGCTGAGTGAATAAAATAATGAATCCATAGTTTCTGATTTCCCCCAACGAGCAAGCCAAGACTCAAAGCACTGACTGACAACTTGGAAGAGATCTTAGATGTGGTCTTTTTTTCCAAGGTGTTAAGTCAGGTGTTATTTTAACTGCAGACCTTAGAGTCTACATCTAAGAAAACTTTGATACGATTAAAATGATTAAACTAAGAAGTTTTCACCATGTAGCACAAGTGCCAAATAAATAGACAAACACATTTATCTGATCTGTGTAGATCAGATAAAAGTGATTTCTCAGAGGCCATGCCTTCCTGTCTTTCTGACTTACTAGCATATAAGTAATTGCCACTTTAAAGGCAAAAAGAGAAGTTTAGTTTCTCCTGGAGAAGCTGTCTAACCTAGTGGCTAGGAATGAAGGTTTTGAGAGCAAGCCTTTCTGGATTTGATTCCTAGCCTCATTAGCTGTGTGTCATTGGGCAATTTGCTTCATCTCTCTGTGCTTCAGTTTCATTGCTATGTATACCTAGGTGCATTCATACGCACACGTGCTCTGGTGTCACAGTACTAATTAAGTGATTTAATACACAGAAAATACTTAGAAAATTGTCTGGTGAATAGTAAACACTCAATGAAACTTAGTTGTTATTATTATGATCCTAGTGAAACAAATATTATTAGTGAGCTATGTCACCTTTGCTGCTTGCATTTCTTCCATTACAGTGAGATGTCTTGAGATACCTTTGGCCAACCCTGTGCTGTAGAGGGATTTCTGAACTGAACTGATCCTACCTGCTCTAATGATGTTTACTTTCACCTCACATTAAATAATAAGAGTATTCTGAAGCTAAAAATCATCCTTTGGCAATCACGTTGACTCCAACTTTTGTTCTCCATGAAGGAGAAAGACACCAAGTTTGGGTAGTAATCTACTGGAAGAGTTGTTACTCTCCACACTGTTGAGGATCATATCCCAGTTTCTTTTTAATTTGTTTCCCTTGTTATGGTCTTGCAATCAGAAAATAATGATAATATATGGCAAGAAAACTAAGTTAATACATGCTAATGTGACAAATAGAAAAGATATGCATTGTACTCTATTGAAAACAACAGAGGCAGAGTGTACAGCTATGAGTGTGTTGAATAAATTCAACCGTTGTACTATGTTCAGCATCCAAGATGTGTTTCAAGTCCTTGAACAGAAAATAAGTTAAACATTTTCATTGTAAGCGTGAAGTATGATACCTATTCTGGAGGAATAAGTTACTAAGTTTTCTTTCCAAGCAGTTTATCAATGTCTTTTAGGGATTCTAGATAGACAGAGAAAATGTGTCACTGACAGGCCCTAACAGAGGTAAGAAGCTTATTCCTAGGATGTGCAAAGAAGACTTTAGATCTTTAAGCAAGCTGTTTGCAAGGATGGAGAAATAGGGTCATGGAGCAGAAGACCTCTTTTTAGCCTTCACTTTGATAATCTCAAAATATCATCACCAGCTGAGCCTCCCACCTGTCAAAACTCTTCTTCTTTCATTCTTAATTTATTCTGGTGTCATAGACGACTTTTGCAAATTTGATAGAAATTATAAATACTCCTCCCAGGAAAATGCACACACACACCACACATACACAAAATTCTGCACATTAACTGGTGGTTTTCATCAATGTTCTGATGCAAAAAATTCCTTTTTAATGGAGTGATTTTATACTATCTTTAGTAAATAAATCGATTAATATTTGAAAGCAGATTTGACCACTTAATTTTCTTTTTAACAATGTATTATTTAAAATCCTGACTTCTAACTCTTCCAAAAGATTTTAGATCGTTCACTTGTTTTGTTTTACTATGATCAGCAGTTTCAGAAGCCTTTGTAGATGTTTCTGAAATGTTTAATTTCTGGGGAATTTTTTTTCTTTCTTTCTGCTAGGAAAGTGCAGCAGGCATTGATGTATGCTGTCTTAAAAATATTTTATTATAATTTTATGAGGAAATAAGCAAGACGACTGTAATGTTATTCCTATACTGGTTTGTATTAAATAAACATTGGTAACCCACAGAGTCTTGATCATAATTCAGACTCTAACCCCAAAATATATTGTTTTGGGAGAAATAAATGTACAAATATACACAGCTACTGTAGCCACAGAGGAAAAATTTCAAAAATATGGAGAGAAAAGACTTTTAAAACTCACCCTCAATGGATATATAAACAACAATGTTGATGAGTCAATCTATGAATTTCTATGTCTATATCTTATATTTTAAAGTTGGAACAGAGAAACTTTCTAGATATTTGACGTAAGAATTTGTTTTGAAAAGTGTGGCAATTAATGTAAAGCTACTCTAAAAGCACCTTTTACTCTCAGAGTAAAATCCTTAGAAAAGTTTGTAATAGTTTATAAAATTTTATAACAATAAAAATAGACCATCTTATTTTTTCTTTTGATACCAATCATCACAGACCAAGAGCAGCTAAGTTTATAATAATTTATTATGGTTGCACATCATTTGTTATGTATAATAAATTATAGAAACCATAACATCTTTATAAACTAGTATATCATATTCACTTCCTATTTCTTACTGCAGTAACTGTAAGGAATTTAATTCGATTATATTTTAGCATTAGTTAGAAGATAAAAAAATTATAAAATTTTTTCACAGTACTTTGGATTTATAAAGGACCCCATTATTTTAAATTTTGTGCAACCAGTTTGAAACACATAAAAACCCTTTACAAACCAGAAGGTGGCGTACAGTTTTACTGAGCTGCTTAAAGTATTGCAGTTCCTTGAGTTTGTAATTAACACCTATGTGGTGCGCTTTTTCAGGCATTGTAATAAATGCAAATAAATAATCAATTACTCATCTCTAAAAATCTATACCAATAGACAACTTTGAAGCTTGGCAACATTCAAATGAAAGTTCCTTAAACAATTGGAGCGCAGTATTCTCTCTCTCCCTGTTCCCCCTCTCCCTCTGCCTCCCTCTACCCAATTTGGTTAAGGAAATAAAGTTCAGGTTGAATTTAAGTCCTAGGGGCTGACAAAGAGACCCTGGCTGCAATTCCTCCCCAGCCATCGGTTATCTTCCGTTTCAGTTCTCGTTACATCTGTCCAGACTCCCCCTGACACCGGCATCAGTCGTTTCACGCAGGGAGCGTTTTCAAAACCTTGCTGAAAGCATCTTGTTCTCCACTGTAACAGGACTGGCGTGAAATTAGTTGGAGTCTTTGTGACTAGTTCTGTTCCTTTCCAGCCTCCGGAGTCCTGACGGAAGAGAAGCTTGCAAGGCAGCAACAAAATGCTGCGTGTGTTAGGGTGTCACAAACTCACTTGGTCTTTAAATGTCCGTTCTTGAATAATGTTCTTATCCATTCTCTTGTCCTCAGTGAACCTTGATGGAATATTTCCGCAGTTTCAGAAATTGGAAGAGCTTGTCTTTCGTCCTCTTCTTCAGGGCCATCAGGGCTCGTGTTTTCTCCTCCAAATCCTGATCTATGGCAAAAATGATCTTAGCTCTCTCCTCTGCTTTCTTGTCCCCAGAGTTTTTGAAGAGCCTCTGTAGTGATTCTTGGTCTATGTTTTCAAAGATGTTGCCCACGGCTTTCTTCCTCGAGGCTGTGTCGAAGTGATAGCCGTGGATGGACGGGCTCACTCGCAGCGAGGTGGACATGGTGATGGCTTGGTGGCTTGGCTTTGCTTTCATCGATGTGGGGATCTTCAGGAATTCAGCTCCCGGATCTCCAGAGAGTCTGTAGCAAACTCATTCCGGGACTGCTATTTAAAGTGTGAACAAAAGCTCCGGGCTCAAATTACACCGGTGACATCAGAGTGATCTCAGGGAAGAATAATCACAGAAAAGTTTAACAGTTGAGTTGCCAATGTCCTGTTCTTGTGCAAAATGTTCCTAAAGGCTGTGTTTAGTGACGGGGCAGTGATATGGGGACTTCTTTTTACCTCACCTGTGGCGATAAGATTATACAGACTTGGGTCCTCCTTTAAAAAATAGCTGAAACCAAGACACAAACAATGTGTCCTGGACTCTCAAAATCTTTCGAAACAGCAAAACAAAGGGTTCCGCTAAGCGCAAGAAAGTTTTAATTCCCAAGAAGTCATTAAAGTGTACTCTGAACATTGGGCAGCCCACACCTGTGCCTTTTGGACACCCCTGTCCAGGGCGACTCCAGGGCTGTGGAGGGAAAGCTTGACAATCACGGCGTCATCTGGAGGATGTCTGATTGTGGACAGGGAGTTTACCCATGAAGCGCTGACATGACACAGCCCGAAACTCTGACGTTTCAGAGACTGTGTACAAGTGCTAATCTGTAATCACTGAATAAAATCATAATTTAATAATAATAATAATAATAATAGACAATATCTCCCTAGGCTTGTGTATATATCAACAACAATACCTATCAATTAAGTAGGGAGGAAAAGTTAATCAGGTGCTTTGTGTACATAGTACTCAAAAGGAATGAGTTGACTTTTTCTTTTAATATTGATTTTGGCATCACACAGACATAGAGCAATACCTTCTTGGGAAGGATTTAAATTTGTTCTTCCCACCTTCCACAGTATTCAGTCAGCTAGTGTCCCCACTGATGTATGGAGCACTTACATTCAACCAAATGATGTAGGTCAACTTCACAGGGCCCCGGAGTTTTCTCTTCAGGGACCTTCTGCCTGGTCCACTTTCTAGTACTCCAAGAAGCAGGGCTGGTCTTCATTTACCTTCTTCTAGTCAAGTCAGATCTAGAAAATGCACAAAAGTAGAGAGTGTGGGGAAGGTACCTCACTAGAAAATTGAGGTAGAGACTGTTCTTATATATTCATTCATTTATTCATTCCTTCACTGATTTATTCAATCAATTTTTGTAAAGGTTTACGTTTAGCTAGAACATTTTTAGGCATTAGAAATATAATAGTAAACCAAACTAAACCAAACAAACCAAACCAAACAACAACAACAAAAATCCCTACCTTAGCTTAATGGAGTTTACATTCCACTGGGAAATAGACAACAGAAAAATGTACGTTTATAATACAGATCATGTCAGAAAGTAGTACCTACTATGGATAAAAATGAAGCAGAGTTGTAACGGAGAGGACGGGGAGGGTTGAAATTCACATAGGATATTCAGGGGCAGCTTCTCTTAGTGTGACATTGTGCAAAGACCTGAAGGAGGTAAGGGAGTAAGCTGTGTAGACATCTGGAGGAAGGGCATTGTAGGCAAAGAGAACAGCAAGTGCAGAGGCCTGAAGATAGGAGTATGCATGGAGTGTGTGAAGAACAGCCGGGAGATCAGTGTGGTTGGAGCAGAGTCAGAGAAGAGTGGGAGGAGGTGAGGTCAGGGTGAGAGAGCAGTGGGAAGAGGGTGGGTTCAGACTGAGCACAACCTCGTAGGCTTTGTCATGGATTTAGCTTTTACTCTGTAGAAGATATGTAGCCTTTGGAGAATTTGGAGCAGAGAAATGACATTATTTTACACATAATTTTAAAAAATAACTGTCATTTCTTAGTAGAGAATAGATTTTAGGGAGGCAGCAGGGCATAGGGAGCAAAAAGACTAGTTCGGAGACTTTCAGAATAATCCAGGCAAGAGACGATGGAGGTCTTCACTAGGGAAGTCATGCAGGTGGGGAGAAGTGGTCAGCATCTGGGTGTGTTGAGAAGGTTACATCAAAAGGGTGGCTGAAGGCTCCCCTGTGAGGAATGAAAGACAGACGGGAGCCCAGCACGATCTCCGTCCTGAAGGATGCTTCCTTGAAAGATGTTTCTAGTGAGCTGGTGCTCGACTCACCAACCATGGCAGCTGGCGCCTGTCCCAGTTTTTCCGCAGAACCCTATGTTCTGTGACTAGGACTGTGGATTTACTGGCATGTAGAGCACGCCTTGTGGCAGCCCATCTCTCTCACTATTAAAAAAATTATTATTATGGCAACAAGGATTTTTACTGAGTTTTATTAAGTGCCAAGAAATTGACATAATCCATCTTAGTTGCTGTCATTACTCAAGGCTTTGTCAACCTTCTCAGGCTGTGGCTCTTTCTTGAAGTGATTCTTATATAGTTCATGCTTTTTAGCCCCTATTCATTAATTACTCCCAAGTTTTGATTCCCAGTCTATCCCTGTCTTCTGAGGTATAGACTCATATGATACAAATATCTGTTCAGTTATAAAAATCAGAAACCCAGCTATAATCTTTGATATCCTTGATATCTCCTTCTCTTTCTCCTCCATCTAAATTTGTCCCCTATATATATCTATCACTGAATTCTGTCGATTCTATCTACAAAATATTTCTCAGCTCTATCTATTTTCTCTCCATTTTCGCTGCCACTATTTAGGCAAGCCTCCCTGTGGTGGATGCTGCGATGCACAACTTGGAACTTCAAGATTTCCCTGAAATGCTCAGCGGTCAGCCCCTTCAGGGATTGCCACCACTGAAGAAGGTCACTCCCCTTCCTGGCGCAGCTGTATCTAGTGACTGAGCAACACGAGGATGTAAAAGCCCGCTCTTCTCGCCCCAACTCTGAGGGGTCACTCACACTTCAGAGCATCCTTTAGGGTCAGCTGAGACCTCCTTCTGCCCAATCCTGTTTATTTCCCATTTGCAGGCATTGATCCCAAGAGCACTCCATAATAAATTACCTTCCTGCTGATCTTCATCTCGGAGTTTGCTTCCTTGGGAGCCCAGGATGTGACACCCCATCTTCTCTCCCTTAGACTATGACTAAACCTCTTTCCCGGCATTCCCGCTTGCCCTCCATTCTCTATAGAGCACCCAGAGCAGTATTTCCTAAGAAGCAATTTGCTCAGACCACTCTTGCTGTTACTCTTAGGATAAGCCCCCAAATCTTAACATAACCTTTTGAGCACAACCTGCTCTGGTCCCTGACTGCTTCTGCAGCATCATGATCTACAACTCTCCACCCATGCCTTTATGCCTCCAGTTCCTTGAATGCACCACGCTCATTTTTGTCCTGAGTCTTTGCACATACTTTTCCTTTTTCTGGAATGTTCTTCTCTACTTTTTACTTCAAGTAGTCATAAAATTTCAACTAAAAGCTACTTGCTCAAAGAAGACTTCTCTGATCCTTCTAGATTAGATCAGGTCTCCTTGCCAAACGTACCCTTTACTATTCCTTAGTGGCACTTACTACAGTTTTCAAATATACATTTATTTTTGTGATTATTCTTTTAAAGTCTATCTCCACCAAAAGCAAGGATCAAATTTCCCTTTCTCATTAATGTATCTAAAGCTCCTAGACGACTTAGTGTGCTTTCATAGAGTGTTAAATAACAATGTAATTTAAATAGAATATTCTATTTAAATCCTATACAGTAGGAACTATTGCAATCTTCGTGTTACAGATAAGAGAACTGAGCCAATGACAATTTACTCCCCGTTGTATGCTAAATAATGACTCTCTAAAATATCCATGTTCTGATCCTTGGAACCTATAAATATAGATAAAAAGGAACCTTATATTGCAAAAGGGACTTATATGGCAAAAGGAAATTTGCAGGTGTAACTAAGTTAAAGATCTTGAGATGTGGAGATTATTTTGGATTATCTAGGTTGGCCCATACAATCATAACAGTTCTTATTATAGGGAAGCAGGAGTCAGAGGAGAGAGAAGATGCTAAATTGCTGGCTTGGAAGATGGAGGAAGGGGCCAAGAGCCAAAGATATAGGCAGACTCTAGAAACTGGAAGAGGCAAAGAAACAGATTGTCCCCTAAATCCTTGAGAAGGATTGTATCACTACAGACTTGTTAGACTTCTGTCCTCCTGGACTGTAAGAAAATGAATTTTTGTTGTTTTAAGCCACTAAATTTGTGGCAATTTGTTACAGTGGCAATAAGAAACTAATTCACCCCACAAATCCTTCAGCTATGGTAAGACAGCTTGAGCCCAGGGCTATTTGACTCCACGATTTTAGGCTATACTGTGTTGCTCTCAAATCAACTCCAAGCTGTGCCTTCAAAAAGCCTGAGTAATGTTTTGACATGACCTTGAGCAGCTCTCCTTGAGGACTGCCTGAAAGCCTTCAGATGAATTTGAGAGATTAAGGAGTTTCAAAATTATTTAGAGGACAAGACCATCCATGGGGAAACAATGTCAGTTTCCGTTTCCCAGAAATGTGACACGAGCCTTAAGGTTATGATTTGCTGGTGCTCTTTGCCAAAGGTAACTCCACATGTGCTTGCAAAGCCTTTTACTCCTGTCACCCTGTTCTTTCCCTTCTTTGTCTAAATATTTTCAGTGAATGATGTGGACAACAGGATCTGAAAAGATTCGAGATTCACAAATTGCCTGTCACGGGACCATATCAAATAGGCAACTTACAGAATTTTTGCTTTCTGCAGTAAAGACAGGAGATAATGAAGGCTGTTTAAAGAAGCAGCTTCTGGACTACTGTGTTTTCTTCTGGGCATCATTTTTCTAGTATTTTTCCATCATACAAAGAGATTGAATGTTTGCCAGTAATCAGGCACAGTTTTGTGCCTGATGAAGAAATTTCAGAAAACAAAGGGAAGGAAGAAAACTAACATTTATTAAGTGCCTTGTATACCTAATTTTCTACACATATTATCTAAATGACTCTTCATAACAATACTGGAGATAGATATTATTGACCTCCATTTTCAGCACAAATAAGGAATTGGGCTAAACAACCTGCCAAAGTGATGAACCTGAATTCATTTCCAGAATTTTTTTATTCCCAAAATCTCCTCCGGGAAGGTTTTTCTGCGTCTTTGCT